GAAACCTCTCTGTCTAACTCTCTTGTTTCCGACACAAATTATCAGGAAATACAGGCCATTCCCTTTTGTTTTTTTACCACAGATGGTGCATGAAAAAGAAGATGTACGTAATACATTCTTAGTTCAATTAAACATTGTTTTAGGGTTAATTAATTCTTACTTATAGTGAAAACTAATAATATGAACTGTTTTATAGCATTTTTATTGAATTGATATGATAAAAGATACGGTTAATATAATATATTAATTGTTTTGAAAATATTATGTACACATCTTAGTTTCCGATTTTTTTTATATACAATACTATTGGATGAAAATAAAATAAATTAATTGAAAGCAATAAGGAGGAGATTGGTGAAATGTATCTACATTCCCAAGAGATGATTTCACTAAAAAAATCGCAGTATTATCGATCGGATATCCGTCGGTAAATTCATATGTAAATTAACAATTATTTACCGATCGGATATATCCGTCGGTAAAATTATATAATATAATTTAATTATTCACCTAATTAAAAAATAAAATATTTTTTATTTAATAAATTAATTTAATCATAATTATATTAATTTATAATAATTTATTAAATTAAATAATTTAAAAAAATAAATATTTAATTATATATAAATATATAAAAATATAAAAATATATAAATATATAAATATAAAAATATAAAAAATATAAAAATATAAAAAAATATAAATATATAAATATATAAATATATAAATATATAAAAATATAAATATATAAAAATATTAAAATATTAAAATATAAATATATATAAATATAATTTATTTGTAAATTATTATTAAAAAATTCTAGTAGCTTAGTGGTTGGAGTATCGGCCTCCAACTCTAAGGTACTCGTAGGTTCGAATCCTACCAATGACATTTCTCTAAATCTAATAATAATTCAAAGTTATAAAAATATAATATGAAGAAATAAATAATAAGAATATAAATGGGAGGGTTTATTTCTATAAATAAATGCTATAAATAATAAAATTATTATTGATCGGATTCTAGTTTGTCGGTAATTTCGGGAGGTTGATGAAATAATATTATGCATAAGTCTCCAAAGTACAAGTGTGATAAAATTCATAACGTGATATTTTTCACTGTCATAATCAATTATGGCAATTCAAATTTGAAAAATATATCTGTTTTGAAGAATAAATGTTTTTAAATATATCCTGATTTTTATTTACGAAAATATTAATGTCCAACGGCCATTTTCTGATGCTATTTTTCTATTTAATTAAGTTTTAATGAAAAATAAAAAACACACAATTACAGAATTCAAAAATACAATTTATATTCAATCAATTTTTGAGAAAAGAATTATGAGAAAGACAACAGAGATATTTTACACCTTCTGAGAAAACCATTTTCTCTACTGCCTTCTATGCTCTCATTGTTAATTACACTTGTTCTTGGAGATTGACATTCTACAGACTTCTACAATTTGTTGTCTCTATTACCCAGGTGTGACTGTTCTTATTTTTATTACCTTTATCCTTTGTATATTGGTGACAAAGGAGGTATTTTTCATCCCTAGTGTGATTCTAGGGAGGTGTTCATCCTTAATGGGTTTCTAAGGAGGTGTTTTCATCCTTTGATTTGTTCAAAGGAGGTTTTCATCCCTAGTGTGATTCTAGGGAGGTGTTTTTCATCCTTTGATTTGTTCAGAGGAGGTGTTCATCCCTAGTTGGATTCTAGGGAGGTGTTCATCCTTAGTGGGTTTCTAAGGAGGTGATTGTCTTTTTAATTAGTTTACTTTTTACTGGTTCTTCTGTTGGGTTGATTGTAATTTGTAAACTGAATTTGAAAGATAGTGAATTGGGAGTCACTCTTATGTTAAGAGTTGACTGGGAACTGGATGTAGGGTTGGTTATACCCAAACCAGTATAAATTACTATGTGCTCTTTTCTTTCTCTTATCTCTTTTTCTTTTCCTGATTATATTATCGCTTCCACTTTATCTGTGTTCAAACAAATTATTGACTCACAAATAAATTTTTAATTTGACATCTATTTTAATTTATGCATCTATTCACCCCCTCTAAATGTTATTTGTCTAACAAGTGGTATCAGAGCTTGGTTAGATAAGATATTTCTAAACGATCTGTCAAGATGTCTATGCAGAATTAGGTTTACAGAGAAGAAGTCTTAATAAACAGACCACTATTATTTGAAGGAGAAGACTATCAGTTTTGGAAGGCGAGAATGAAAATATTTTTACAAACACTAGATTACGGTGTTTGGGATGCTGTACTCAACGATCCTTACATTCCGATGAGAACAACGGAGTTTGGAGCTGTTCCAAAGACTTTTGATCAATGAACACCAGATGAAAACAAGCGTGCCCAATATGATGTAAAAGCCCGAAATGTTATTGTTTCTACCTTAACTCGTAATGAATTTTTCAGGGTTTCACAATGCAAGACGACAAAATAAATATGTGACACTCTTGAAGTAACACATGAAGGAACAAATAAAGTAAAGCGAACACGTAAGAACACACTCATCCAGGAGTATGAATTATTTCAAATGCAGCAAAATAAAAACATCACGGGTTTCCAGACACGCTTCACACATATAATAAATCACTTGAAAGCATTAGGAAAAAGTTTTGACAATGAGGAGTTGAACACAAAGATCTTGAAATCCTTAGACAGGAATTGGCAACCAAAGGTCACTACTATTACAGAATCAAAGGATCTCACAAAAATAAATATTGCTACTCTATTTGGAAAGTTGCGAGAACATAAGATGGAGCTACAAATGTTAAAGAATGGTGAACAAAATCAAGCCAAGACGATAGCTCTAAAAGTAGAAAAAATCTTCACAAGATGAAAGCGAAAATGAAGGTAAGTTTTTGGATTCCGATATGTCTCTTTTTGTTAAACAATTTTCTCGCTTTATGAAGAACAGGAAAAAGAGACAGCAAAGAAAAGAGAAAACAAATAAATTCCATTATTATGAATGTGAAAACCTGGTCATATCAAACCAGACTGTCCGAAACTTAAGAAAGAGAAGAAAGATGTGAAAGAGAAGAAGAAATAGAAGAACGATACCTATAAGAGCAAACACAAAGCTTATATTGCTTGGGAGGATAATAATTTTTCCACAACACAAGAGAGTTCTTCCGAAAGTAGTGATAAAAAAGAAGAAACAAATCTTTGCTCAATGACAAAAACTAATGATAAAGCCTCATCACAGGATAAGAAATCAGTCTGGTTTCTTGATAGCGGATGCTCCAGGCACATGACCGGTGACAAGAACAAGTTTGAAAGCCTCACAAAGAGGAGTCAAGGACATGTGACATATGGTGATAACAACAAAGGAAAAATTATTGGATCAGGACAAAATTATCTCCTGTCTTGTTTCTAAGAATGAAGATCCGTGGTTATGGCATAGGAGAGCTGCACACATTCACATGCATCATTTAAATAAATTGATTTAAAAAAATTTAGTGATTGACCTGGCTAAGTTAAGTTTTAACAAAGATAAAATTTGTACGGCATGCCAAAAAGGAAAGCAAACTAAAACCTCTTTTAAGAATAAAAATATTATCTCTACATCACAGCCTTTAGAATTATTGCACATGGACTTATTTGGACCCTCTAGAACAAGGAGCCTAGGTGGTAATTATTATGCACTAGTTATTGTAGATGATTATTCTAGGTTCACTTGGACTTTCTTTTTTGCAACTAAAAATGATGCTTTTAAGACTTTTAAGAAATTTGCTAAGGCTATTCAAAATGAGAAAGATTTGAACATAAAATCAATTAGAAGTGATCATGGTGGTGAATTTCAAAATAAGCTTTTTGAAAATTTTTGTGAAGAATTAGGCATAACACATAATTTTTCTTCCCCAAGAACACCACAACAAAATGGAGTTGTTGAGAGGAAAAATAGGTCCTTGGAAGAATTAACTAGAACAATGTTAAATGAAAATAATCTTCCAAAATATTTTTGGGTCGATGTTGTGTCAACTGCATGTTATGTGTTAAATAGGATTTTAATAAGACCTATTTTGAAACTCACTCCCTATGAAATTTTCAAAGGTAGAAAACCAAATATTTCTCATTTTAAAGTTTTTGGTTGCAAATGTTATGTTTTAAACAATGGTAAAGATAACCTTGGCAAATTTGATTCTAAGGCTGATGAAGCAATATTTTTAGGTTATTCTTTAAATAACAAATCATATAGGGTATTTAATAGGAGAACATTGCATGTAGAAGAATCTGTTCATGTAACGTTTGATGAGTTTTTGGACCTTGAGGAGAACCCTCTTGAGTCAAGAAAAGATTCTATAGATATTGAAGAAGAACAAATTACAGCAGAAAAGAATCAGGTTCAGTCACAGGAAGACCAAATGGAGGATCTTAGAAGGAGTTTAGAAGAACACACTATTTCTGAATCTCAACCAGTTCAAGATCTATCCAAAGAATGGCGTACACCAAGAGGACTCTCACTGGACAATGTTATTGGAAATGTAGAGCAAAGAGTTACAACAAGAAGTAGAATGAATAACTTCTGTATGAATGTAGCTTTTGTTTCACAAGTGGAGCCTAAAAGTATTGATGAAGCCTTACAAGATGAATACTGGATTCAAGCTATGCAAGAGGAATTAAATAAGTTCAAGAGAAATGAAGTTTGGGATCTAGTACCAAGAAAGAAGTCAATGCAGGTTATTGGAGCTAAATGGGTGTACAGGAACAAGTTGGATGAGCAGGGAAATATTACAAAGAATAAGGCAAGATTGGTTGCAAAAGGATATAGTCAAGAAGAAGGAATTGATTATGATGAGACATATGCACCAGTAGCAAGATTGGAAGCTATCCAAATTCTACTAGCCTATGCATCTATCATGAAATTCAAATTATATCAAATGGATGTAAAGAGTGCATTCTTAAATGGATACATCAAAGAGGAGGTGTATGTGTGTCAACCTCCTGGCTTTGAAGATTATCAACATCCAGATCATGTTTATAAA